GCGGGCTGTCTCAGAGCGGCAGCTCTAGCCTCAGTCACGGGCCCTGGCTCCAGCCTCCTCGCCCGCCTCCTCCCTCCATGTCACACTCAAAGGCTAACGCGGGCCAAATAAACAAGGTGTAAGTTCCTGTGGCCGCAAAAACACAACAGCTTCCATTTCCATAGAAACGTAGGTTTATTTCGATAGAGACGTGCTGAAGACAAAGAGCTGAAACAAATGTCATCCTTAACATAAAATAATAGGACATTTTAATAAAAATTAAGATTTTTCTTGAACATTAACTTACCAGACACTGAATAACTGCACAAATTAATAAGCGTAATCAAATAAGTGTGTTTTTCTTGTTCTCCAAAAGCAAAATATTTCCTGTTGCACACACCAAACAAGTCAGTACAAGACTAAAGATGTGGCAATTGGCTGCTATAATATTTGCTGCTAGTATTAGTGGAGAGAAGGTGTGCTTGTGAGCATAGGCGCATAAGGGCAATGATGCGGAAGGGAAATGAATGCAACACAATTATAGTAATCAGTCATTAGTGAACGCTGTAGTTCATTATTAATAATTATGTATAACAGAATATTATAAAATTTAAGTTATGAAATTTTTATTAAAATGTTTCTTCGATGCCGTTATATTGGCTGGGCTGCAAAAATATTCGTTGTGGGAAGCAGGCAGCCCACGGGCCACGAGTTTGACATGCTTGCTCTACTTTGTGAGGGGTATGCTGTTTTTCCTTTGAACCCTACATCATTTATGAGCCAAAGGACATGTAACTATTATAATATAATGAAATGTAATATAACATAATATATGATATAATACATATAATTAGCATCTGATTACAATAAAAAAACTAACACTTATTGAGTGTCTACTCTATGCCACACAATGTCTTGTCTCCTTTAATTCTCATAGATCCCATAGATAACAAACCAGTTTTGAAGGAAAGGGGCTGATTCAAGATCACAAAGCTAATAAATCATGATGTCAGGCTCCAAACTTGTAGTCCATACCCAAAGCTCAACCTCTCAGTCACTCCACTACCTACTAGTTTGCCTCATCTTGTGTGTGTGCATGTGCAACTAAATTATATGTAGCTTGAGACCAGGAATCCTCTCAAACCCCTTTTCCCTGCTCCCCTCTACACAAGATAGGCCGTGTGAGACATAAAATCCCAACGCCTTAGTACTACCAAAGGTCTCCCATGAATAAGCTTCGCTTTCCACTAGGTCTTTGAGTAAGAATGCAATTCAACTAAAATTTACTAAGACAGTTGCTAGGTTCTGTGTTAGTGACTATCATATTGACATGATATTGCCCTCACCACAATCCCTTGGACATCATATTACTATCCTCATTCTACAGATTAGGAACCTAAAGTTTAGAAAAGTTCAGTCAACACGTCCAATATAATCCCCCTATAGGTCTCTTGATTCCAAATGCTCTGGTCTTTCCACAGTGCCTCTGCGGGTCCCAGTATCCCATCCTCTAACCCGAAGTCCAATCACTGTTCCCTAAACATGCCCCATCTTACATTCCTCCATGCCTTTGATGGGCCTGAAATGTCCCACGCAGACTTCCTACTCCTTTGTTCTCCTAAGACACATTGCTTTTGCACATCATCCGCAGAATGTATTGCATCTGACTTGTTCATACTTTTTGTTTTACTAGGTCAGGGACTATTTCTTTCTTCCTTTAAATGTATTTTATTTAATTTTTGGAGAGAGGAAGGGAGAGGGAGAGAGAAATAGAAACATTGATGAGAGAGAGTCTTTGATCAGCTGCCTCCTGCACACCTCCACTGGGGATATGCCAGCCACCAAGGTCCATGCCCTTGACCGGAATTAAACCTGGGATTTTTCAGTCCACAGGTCAACACTCTATCCACTGAGCCAAACCAGTTAGGCTAGAATAGTAATCTTGACAAACTGAAGCCAAAGGTATAAAAACCGAAGGAAAAAGAGAGACTAGGGGGAAAGCATTACCTGGGAGGATTAAGATCAGAAGCCAGGGAGATGCTTTGAGTTTCAAAACTTCTGGACGGGGGAATACTCATTATATCAGTGTTAATATGGGAAATGAGTCCCTGTGGAGATTTAGCCTCAGCGACTTTCAATTTTTCTTTCTCTTTTCTTCTTCCTGTGTCAACAGAATATACAATATTATTAATGTTATCTAATATAGGTACTTAGAATTCACTGTTTACAGAAAATATTTTTTCTTGAGTTACCTTGAGTTTGCTATGGCCTTGGACCTTGCTATAGAGAGCAGAGACCCATGGTGCTATGGGCTGATACTTCTCCACACATACATAACGAATGCTTATCATTTCAGTATTAGGCAGAAAAGTAGAGATTATATGCTGAAGCAAGAAAAATTCTCAGAATTTTATAATATCAGAACTAATCCCTTTGGTTAGAAAAATAATGATATTTAAATTAGCATGATTATTACTCTACTAGAGTCCTGGTGCATGAAAATTCATGCACTGGAGTGGGGTTCCCTCAGCCTAGCCTGCCCCCTCTCACAGTCTGGGAGCCCTCAGGGGCGGGAGGCGACCTGGTGATCAGGGGAAGGCGATGCACCCATCACAACTCTGCTGCTGCCACTGCTGGCAGCGCAAGCCTCGGCTAACCCTGGTTACCTGAACCTCAGGCAGCCCTGGGTGGCTGGGCAGCTGACAGCTGAGGCTAGCCTGCACCTTGGGCCGGCCCTGGGGCGCTGGAAGGCTGAGGGGACTGGGGGACTCTGGAGGCAGGTGCCCCGGTGGGGCTGAGGGGACTGGGCACTGCCATCGTGTGGTTGTGGGCACCACCATCTTTGAGGGCGTGGCAGTCAATTAGAATATTCCCTCCTATTGCCTGTGGGTACTGCCATCTTTGAGGCTGGGGCAGTCAATTAGAATATTCCCTCCTTGTTGGCTGTGGATGCCACCATCTTTGAGGGTGGGGCAGTTAATTAGCATATTCCCTCCTTATTGGCCATGGGCGCTGCCATCTTTGAGGGTATGGCAGTTTATTAGCACATTTCCTCCTTATCGGCCATGGGCGCTGCCATCTTTGAGGGCGTGGCAGTCAATTAGCATATTCCCTTCTTATTGGCTCTTGGTGCTGCCATCTTTGCAATGGTGTTAGAGTCAATTAGCATATTCCCTCTTTATTAGGTAGGATTATACAAATTGATCACATAGCACCATCCACCACTAACATTTCTATGACCAGAGGGCTGGTGCATGAAATTTGTGCATGGGAAGGGGGATGGGGTCCCTCAGCCTGGGCTGCACCCTCTTGCCATCCAGGACCCCTCAGGGTATGTCTGACTGCCAGTTTAGGTCTGATTGCTCCTAAACTGGCAGTCAGACATCTCTCTAGAAACCCGGGATTGCTGGCACCCAACCGCTCACCTGCCTGCCTGCTTGATCGCCTCTAACTGCTCACCTGCCTGCATGATCAAACCTAACCACTCTGCCTGCCTGCCTGATTGCCCCTAACTGCTCTGCCTGCCTGCCTGATTGCCCCTAACCTCTTCTGCCTCAGCCCCCACTGGCGCAGCTTAGTTCAGAAGGACATCTGAAATGACGTCTGGAAGGTCATTCGCTGTACATCTAATTAGCATATTACGCTTTCTTTACTATTATAGATTTGCTTCTGCTCAGTTTCAAGTAATCTAGAAAACATTTTATAAATTTAAATGAAATGATTATTAAATAATCTATGTTTACATTTTACTTTACAAATAACATCATAAACAATAAAAAGTCAATATCCCATTATTAGAGATTAGTTAGGTAAGGTTTTTGTTTGATTTTTTTGCTATAATACATTTTTTAAAATATGACCTCTAGCTTCTTTCTTGTATATTTCTGTGGGTTTTTTCCCCCAGAGTACATGTACAGACAGTCCTCGTGTTACGTTGGACTAGACATACATCATTTCGTGGATAAGTCACCATCTTTCATTTATTTATTAAAAAAAAACAAGTTCCATCATTTTGACATATGTACATATGTGCTTTATTGTTTTTTTTATTATTTACCACAAGTAAAGGTCAGGAATTGTTATCTTTCTTTTAAATTTTTTTACTGTTTCACTTCATTACTGCTGTGTATGTGCTCCATGTGAGTGACGTAGGTGCTTCTGTAGGTGGTTATGACTTACAGCGAAAATCGCATTATATCATGCCATAGGAATGGATCTCCAACATAACCCGAGGACCTACTGTACTAGTATATCATTTTTGCAACTCAAAAAGGATAATGTTCTTTTTGAAGTGATTGAAGATCACTTGTGAATGAAGGCAGAAAATCCCTGTCCCTCTCACCCCAATCATGCCCTATGTACAGCCAGGCTGGGGTGGGGCACAGCACTGACAAACAAGGCCTCTTTTTCTTTCTTTTTTTTTTCTTTAATATATTTTCAATGATTTCAAAGAGGAAGAGAGAGGAAGAGAGAGAAAAATCAATGATGGAAGAGAATCATTGATCAACTGCCTCCTGCACGCCCCCTACTGGGGATCGAGCCTGCAACCCAGGCATGTGCCCTTGACCAGAATTGAACCTTCAGTCGGCAGGCTGACACTCTATCCACCGAGCCAAAACATCTAGGGCACAGGTCTTTTTTTTCTTTTCATTAGGTCAAGTTCACCAAGTAAGTACCTGTGAGCATAACTTCCCAGTTTTTTTTAATCAGCTCTTCCAGTATTTCTGTCACATTTGTCCAGATGTGATCGAACACTTCTGCAGCCACAGCGTCTTTGATACAGTCATGAGGGGAAATGGGAGGAAGTCCATGCTTGCGCCACATCCCACAGTGGTGAGCTGATTTCTGTTCAAGATGTTCATCGTCACTAAGGACAAAATCCATCCTGATTACTAAAAGAATCAAGGGTTAAAGGTAAATAATGCTACCTATCTACCTAACACGCATTCATCGATGTATATTATACACATATAAATAACATCACACTCTTTTTTAAAACAGTGCAGTATTTTTTAATGTACCAATTTTCCATCACAAGGCAAATTTTTAGTATATAAAATGTGTAGCTTTTGTTTAAGAACTAAATATGCATTTAGTGCTAAAACTGGACCGTCCCCTTTGCCCTCTGTACAGCCAGGTATAGGATACCAGGAGCTCCTGGGCACCAAGTCATGTCCACCATTATGCTAAACATAACTCTTGTTTTCTACCTGTACCATATTGTCAAAAACAGCCTGGCTGGCATGGCTCAGTGGTTGAGCGTCTACTTGTGAACCTGGAGGTCACGGTTCAATTCCTGGTCAGGGCACATGCCTGGGTTGCAGGCTCGATCTCCATAGTGGGGCATGCAGAAGGCAGCGAATCAGCGATTCTCTCCCATCAGTGCTGTTTTTTTCTCTCTCTCTCTCCCTTTCCCTTCCTCTCTGAAATCAATAAAAATGTATTTTAAAAATGAAAAGAAAGGGAAGCAGTCTTCTAGCATAGACATTTCGTGCCAGGAATCTGAAAGCTTTTGAGAGAACAATACTCTCCAAAGAATGGAAAATCTTTTGGAAAGTGAAATATACACTAAATGAGCATGTAATCAAACTAAATACCAAATAAATTAATATTATGAAACCATTAAGTCAGTGTCAAATAAAATTCTACTCACTCTACTTTTCTGTTGAAAGCGAAATATTCTTCGAGTTTTCCATCCACATCATAGACCTCTTCCTGCAGGGATGAACATGCTGCTATGTTGTCTACTTCTGTGCAGTCAGGACCTGGCAGGGCTGGGGCTGCAAGTGCTGCTGGGAGTACTTGAGAGCCGGAGATGCACAGCTTACGGGGAAAGCAGATTCTCCATGGGAGCTAGTAGAGCGTCAAGAACGCAATGTGTGCATGATCACGGTAGGTCTTTAAATTATCCAGAAGGCACAGAGTCCCAAATGCAAAAGTCACTAAATATTACATTTAACAAAAGTCATATCCTTAGAAGCAACATTTTAACACGGGCATCATTAAACATTGTAAGGGCTTCTTGGAAGCCTACATTATTCTATGAATTTGCATCCTCTTTGCTATAATGAGAGGATGTCATGGCACCGTCCCAAGTACGTGTGACTGGCATGGAGGCATTCATTGAAATCTGTTAGTGAGCACAAGAAAATGGCTGGAGTTTTAGTCCTTCTGCTGCTACGGCCTTGGGGCTTAGGATCCAATAGTTTTGATTTTGTATCTAGCTCACCTTTCAGAAATTCTTTCAAACAAAAGTTGAAAAGGTAACTCCCTTGCCCAGCCAATGTGGATCAGTGGTTGAGTATCAACCTATGAACTAAGAAATCACAGTTCGATTCCCGGTCAGGGCACATGTCCAAGTTGTGGGCTCAGTCTCCAATGTGGGCTGTGCAGGAAGCAGCTGATCAATGACTCTCTCATCATTGATGTTTCTATCTCCCTCTCCATTCCTCTCTGAAATTAATAAAAATATATTTTAACTCCCTTGATATCTGTATTACACACACACACACACACACACACACACACACACACACGTTATTATCATCATCGTCATCATCATCAT